ATGTGAAATAAATAATTTAAAAACGAATTTAATAATTTCCTTTTACAAACAGTCATATTTCTTTTCTTAAAGTTAACTTTAACAACATAAAACCACAAAATTTTATTGTTTGCATTTCTGAAACAATAAGTTGAACTCTAAAGTTGTAGCCTTCCTAAAAACAGACTAAACAGAGAGTTTGTTGGCCATTAGTGACTACAGGTGGAAAAATATATCTGATTATAATGTGATGAAAAGCATTTTCTGGTTCTTATCAGAGAAGGATTTGGTGCACTTGTACACTGTCGCTATCAAATAAACTGCAAATAATATGATAAACTAAACCAGTAACATATCACATTAAAATACCATTTTATAATTCAGAGATTTAACTTAACTACAGTGCCTTATGATGGAGTAAGCTAAAATGCTGACACAATTTACCCCACAACATTTGGCTCAGTTTGCCCCATGGCTGCCATTTTGGAACAATGGCTTGAAGAAATCCTCTTCCTCTGATGAAGTGGCATCACTTGTAAGCTGAGAGTTCTCCTCCATATTTCCCTTTATGAAGTCAAGACCTAAATACAATACACATTTGGTCATGTTTCTGCAACAATTTAAAAATTCATTCATAAGCATTTTTAGTGCTTTTAAAATTATAATATCACATAGTTCATTCTTTTTGAAATGCTGTTGTTGATGCTGATCAGAACACAAGAGGTGGACAGCCGGCGAGTGTGTATAAATTGTGTATTGTATTGGTGCAATGTATTTGCTCTTTATTGCGTGCAGCGGGGTGTGTATATTAAAGCAGTGTGTCAAAGGGACACTGGCATTTCTGTGGAGCTCATTTTAATTTCAGATATGGAAATGGGACGATGTTGGCACTCTGACAAATGCTTCTCTGCTGCTGGAAAGACGTGCTGAGTCCTGAATCTGTTTGTAATTCTCCACCATATGATTTGGTTGGAAAACAAGAGAAGTGATATTTACATACTGTTTTCATCTGCTTACAGTATTTGTTTGTGACACTTTGTGGACATCTCTGTCTGGTTTATTTAAAGCTGGGATTTTCTAACTTTTTAACAACAAGGATCCATTATATGATGATCCCCTTGTGTGGGACCCCCTTCATAAAATAGAAACAGTAGAAATATAATTTATTTTCATGTATGAAAATCCATTTATACTGTGCAAAATGAATACTTACTGTACATACATACATAAATTCTTAAATAAATAGAAAGCTTATAAGGACAAACATTCTCCCAAATTAAATGACTGGTTTTTATTTGTCATTGTACTAAAACCAAAAATAAATAATTGAAATATTATTTGGAATATATTTACTTTGCAAATTAAAGGCACGTCAAATTAATAGTTTATCTTGTTTCTGTGTCAGAATATAAGAGAAACATGTTCAGTTCAATTCAAATGTATTTGTATAGAACTTTTCATAATAATATGATTCAAATGAAACTTTGCAGAAAAATAGTATAATACAAGTTTATGTTCATTGCAAGGTTTTCAATTTATTTATTTTTATAGAAAACTATAAAAAATATTTTGTATTTTATTTAGAAACCTTCACTCGAATGTATTGCAAATATATAATTAATTATTTCTGTCTGTGTCATAGCTCACAAAATGTAATGAAGCTCTCAGTTTTGTTATATTTAATTATCAAATGTATCTCAAATGTTTACTTGAAAAAATACCAGTGTAGACCACTACAATAAAATACAATATTTAGCTAACAACTAACTAACAAGCTAACAAAAAGCTTAGCTAACAATATTAGCAAAGTAGATAATTTAATAAGAGAAATAAATAAAAATGGAATCTACTTTGCTAATATATAATATTGCTAGAAATTAAAGCTAAAACTGTCTATACAGTGGGTACGGAAAGTATTCAGACCCCCTTACATTTTTCACTCTTTGTTATATTGCAGCCATTTGCTAAAATCATTTAAGTTAATTTTTTTTCCTCATTAATGTACACATAGCACCCCATATTGACAGAAAAACACAGAATTGTTGACATTTTTGCAGATTTATTAAAAAAGAAAAACTTAAATATCACATGGTCCTAAGTATTCGGACCCTTTGCTGTGACACTCATATATTTAACTCAGGTGCTGTCCATTTGTTCTGATCATCCTTGAGATGGTTCTACACCTTCATTTGAGTCCAGCTGTGTTTGATTATACTGATTGGACTTGATTAGGAAAGCCACACACCTGTCTATATAAGACCTTACAGCTCACAGTGCATGTCAGAGCAAATGAGAATCATGAGGTCAAAGGAATTGCCTGAAGAGCTCAGAGACAGAATTGTGGCAAGGCACAGATCTGGCCAAGGTTACAGAAAAATTTCTGCTGCACTTAAGGTTCCTAAGAGCACGGTGGCCTCCATAATCCTTAAATGGAAGACGTTTGGGACGACCAGAAGCCTTCCTAGAGCTGGCCGTCCGGCCAAACTGAGCTATCGGGGGAGAAGAGCCTTGGTGAGAGAGGTAAAGAAGAACCCAAAGATCACTGTGGCTGAGCTCCAGAGATGCAGTCGGGAGATGGGAGAAAGTTGTAGAAAGTCAACCATCACTGCAGCCCTCCACCAGTCGGGGCTTTATGGCAGAGTGGCCCGACGGAAGCCTCTCCTCAGTGCAAGACACATGAAAGCCCGCATGGAGTTTGCTAAAAAAACACCTGAAGGACTCCAAGATGGTGAGAAATAAGATTCTCTGGTCTGATGAGACCAAGATAGAACTTTTTGGCCTTAATTCTAAGCGGTATGTGTGGAGAAAACCAGGCACTGCTCATCACCTGTCCAATACAGTCCCAACAGTGAAGCATGGTGGTGGCAGCATCATGCTGTGGGGGTGTTTTTCAGTTGCAGGGACAGGACGACTGGTTGCAATCGAGGGAAAGATGAATGTGGCCAAGTACAGGGATATCCTGGACTAAAACCTTCTCCAGAGTGCTCAGGACTTCAGACTGGGCCGAAGGTTTACCTTCCAACAAGACAATGACCCTAAGCACACAGCTAAAATAACGAAGGAGTGGCTTCACAACAACTCTGTGACTGTTCTTGAATGGCCCAGCCAGAGCCCTGACTTAAACCCAATTGAGCATCTCTGGAGAGACCTAAAAATGGCTGTCCACCAATGTTTACCATCCAACCTGACAGAACTGGAGTGGATCTGCAAGAGGGAATGGCAGAGGATCCCCAAATCCAGTTGTGAAAAACTTGTTGCATCTTTCCTAAAAAGACTCATGGCTGTATTAGATCAAAAGGGTGCTTTTACTAAATACTGAGCAAAGGGTCTGATTACTTAGGACCATGTGATATTTCAGTTTTTCTTTTTTAATATATCTGCAAAAATGTCAACAATTCTGTGTTTTTCTGTCAATATGGGGTGCTGTGTGTACATTAATGAGGAAAAAAAATTAACTTAAATGATTTTAGCAAATGGCTGCAATATAACAAAGAGTGAAAAATTTAAGGGGGTCTGAATACTTTCCGTACCCACTGTATATATATAAATCTGTACTAATTAGCATGTCACTGCTCTTCATTTAGTTTTATATGCCTATGTCAACAAACCGAGTTTGAAGATGGCAGCATCAGTTGTCCAGTAAGTTTTAAACTTTGGAAGCAGGACTGCAGCCGCAATCAGCTCAGGATCATTGAGCATGTCCCCAAAGCGCTTGTTCACACCTGCAAGGATTGCATCTACCAGGCTAGGGCTGTCGCGATAACCGCAATATCGCAATACCGCAATACCGCGCTATTGACTAGCAAACCGCAGAGGAATGCAAGAACCGCAGCAACCGTGATTTTGGCGTGTTTTCTTTTTTCGTAAGGTTATGCCCTTCTCGTTTTACAATTCATGCATGTGGACTGAATATTAAACAAGTTAGTAATGATAACATAATGTGTACCATGCTGATTTGTACAGAGGCGCCGTAGATTTGCACTTAACAAGCCTAAACAGACAGTGAATGAGAGAGAGATCGACTGAGCGTGTGCGATTACTTGCGTCTGTCCTCCAGGCTGAGTCATATATATTTGTGAAAATAGGTTGTCATGTCCAAGGAAAGCGAAATCTCTGTCTTAGCATTGACGCATAGCTGGTCAGCTGAGCCTTCTAAAGTGGCGCTCAAAGTTAAAATGATTTCAACAGTGTGTTTTCATTAATGTTGATTTGATAAGCGAACTGATAAGGATCAAGATGGTCCTTGACCTCTTCCTTAAGCCTCCCCACCATAATCCTCTCCAAACACTTCATTACAATACAAGTTAAGGCAACTGGGCGATAATCGTTGTACTCCTGAGGGCTAGTTCTCTTTGGAACTGGTATAATAATAGATTTTTTCCAAATAGCTGGTATAATATGTAGATAAATAGACCTCTGAAAAATATCCACCCATGCTAGGGCTAGTTCCTCTACAAAAGTTTTTCAAATAGAAGCAGAAAGTCCATCCGGCCCAGTTGCCTTTTTAATGTCAAGACCTTTAAAAACCTTAACAACGTCAGTCAGAGTCATTTGAGGTTTTGATACGGAATCATCAATCCGAATAGCCTCCAATACATCACTACAATCATAAGAATCCACATTGAACCTACAGTAAAAATCATTGAGCTCATTTACCATTATTTGCTCATTGACAGCATGCATGCTCATCCTTTTAGGAGTCATATTTGTTAAACACCTTACCTTAGACCACAACTTTTTTGAACTTTTACTCAGATCACTATCAATTAACTATACCTCTTACTAGTTTCTCTTAATTTATAATTAAGCTTTTTCTGAGCCAATTTCAAAAGTTCTGAATCCCGTTGTTTAAAAGCGAAGTGTTTCTGATTAATACACTCCTTAACCTCCTTGGTTATGTAGAGCTTATTATTTGAATAATGTTTAATCCGTTTAACTGGTATTACAGAGTCTATACAAAACTTAACATATGCAGTCCTGATTTCATTATGTCTGTCAATATCTGAGTCATACAGCACCTCCCAGTCCGTACAAAGAAAACAGCCCCTTAATATCTCAATTTTCTCCTGAGACCAAAGTCTCACCACCTTACCTACAGGCTTACACGACTTCAGCAAGGTGCGATACACAGGAATAAGCTGCACTGTATCATGGTCCGAGTTTGCTAACGGTGGTTTAATTTTCACAGTGTATGCATTTGATATATTCCCATAACACTTGTCCATACATATAGGGTAATTATAGCCTAACGATCTTATTGTCAGGTTTATGTTCTGTTAGCTGTGACATATTCCCCAAGGAAGGCCTTTTCTGCAGGAGTGAACCTATAAAAGAAAAACCTTGTTTACGACCATTTAAAGTAGCTGATTACTGCAAAATATAGATGCTACTCAATCAGGATAGAAATGTTTCATCATAGGATAGCAGAACAATTTGCATTAATTTGTAATGATTTGCTGCTACCCCTCCTGTTTCCCATGTTTGAATGAATAGTAAAAAAATATCCATTATTTCATCTGACAATTCAGGATGCCTTGATGGCATACAAATATTCACTTTTGCTGGTGGAAAAAGGCATAAAGTCTCTGAAAGAAACTTTAAAAGAAAATGCATAGCATCATTACATTTTAACATTACTCACATGGGGATTTTGAATTCCACACAGAGATTCCGGAAAGCACCATCTCCCTTTTCCTTCATGATCTTCAGGATCCTCTCCACTGAAAGAAACAAAGAGTTCCATCGTGTGGCATTTGGACGAATTAACTGCATACTACATTCCTCTTCCATTATCTCTGCAGCTTTGTTGGACCAACCACTCTTGTTCCACAAGGCCAGATTTGGAGAAGGATGAACTTGATAACTTTTTGTATGTTTCATCCGATTGAGCAGTGTCAACATCCACGGTGGAAACCAGGTTCAGAAGATGGCAAGCACAATGTTGATTCTTGGGCAAATGAAATTCAAGATCATCCTTGGCTAGAATTTCAGCAACCTCAACATATTCAATCTCCTCACATTTCTCCTCATCTTGAGTGTCAGATTCATCCTCATCTTCTGATGGGGTTGCTGTTGCACTTTCTGTATTGTTGCCGTGTATGTTCTCACCTCCATAGACACGAAAGGCTTTCAAAAAATTTGATCCATTGTCTGTTGTTATACAGACAACTTTTTCATGGATCTCAAATTCAGAGTGTATGTCATGTATCGCAGCTGCAAGTACATCAAACGTGTGCGACCCCTTTAATTGTCGACAGGCAAGCGCTGCAGAGCATCGGTGTAGATTGTCTGGGTCAATCCAGTGCGCTGTCATACCTATAAAGCTGTGCCGCTTTGAACTCCAGCAGTCAGTGGTTGTACGGATGTATTCCACCCCTCTCATGGCTTCTGTTACACGTTTCTTCATTCCTCCTGCAGCTTCCTCAACCTTTGATTTGTAATGTATTTATTATGTCTATGGTTCCCTCAACATAGCATCTCGAGGCCACGACATAAGGATGTCTTACCTCGACAAAATGATCTCATGGCCACGACATAATATCACGTTCCCACGAGTTATTATGTCGTGGCCACGACAAAACTAAGTGAATCGAAAATGTCACCTCCCGGGCACTGTACATTCTGAATACAGTAATAAATAATTTTTAATAAATAGTAATAAATAATCAGCAGTCCAGTGTTCGTCTTCTCATTTACAGCGTTTTTCTCTTCCTGATCATATTTCATACCTGTTGAGTTTAGTTCATTACAGTCTTTTGAAGTAGTTGAATGTTTGCACGGTACGATGTTAAACATATTTAATTCATCTTAAACAGTAACGCGTTGACAGCGGAACTACTTTGAATATTAAGAATTATGACATAAGCATGTAAATTACAGTGAACTGACTGTCGATGAAAAATGGCACAGAATAGATTTTTTAAATATTTAATACAAATCAAAGGTTCGTTCTGATCTTATTCATCAGGGCCCGTATTCACAAAACCTAACCTAACCCTAACCCTGCCAACAAGGCGGGCTATATGCACTTAGTGTAAATAGACACTCCCTTATAATTACACTTACATTGTGATGTATTGTATTTAATAACTTTCTTGTGTTTTTATTCCAGAGAACACATTTCCCAGTCTGTCACTTGTGTTATTTGGGAACTCTTCATCAGTCCAGTTTGGACATGAAAACATTTTTCTTGGAGAAGAACAGACGAATATGGAAAATGCAGAAATATCCAGCATTGTTCCTGTACTGAGGAAAATATCAGAGCGTCACATGTCTGTGATCAACATGATTGACTTACATGAGGCTGAAAATGTGGATCATCTCATTGGTCAACTAGTGAATGAAAATGAAATCCACGCCTTCATCTTTGTTGTACGACTGGGCCAGTTAACAGATGCTGATAAGATGGGTCTTGAATGGCTTCAGAGTGTGTTTGGTGACAAAGTTCTTCAGTTTGTGATGATTCTCTTCATCTATGAGAGAGAAGAAGAGTGTGACACTATAATAGATGATCTGAAGAAAAACCCTGTCCTGGAGCAGTTGCTGGAGAAATGTGGAGGAAGATATCACACCTGCAACAAGATGATGAACAACCAATCAGAGATGAGAGACCTGATGGACAAGATTGAGCGTCTGTTTAATGAGAATCAACAGCAGCGCTACACTGGCGAGATGTACAACACTGCACAGATGAGAAACAGTGAATGTGAAAGTGGTAAGAATGTTGTTGTTGTTTTTCTAATTTCAAATGTTGTGTCTTAAATATAACAGATTCTTATAGAGTTTTATTATGTGGTTTTAGGTCACATACCAGAAATGGGACAAAATGCACAACTGAACTTGATTTTATTGGGGAAAAAACAAGTTGGGAAGAGTGCAGCAGGAAACACAATACTGGGACGAGAAGCTTTTGTGTCAAGGAAAAGCTCCAAATTGGTCACTCGAGATGTTGCTGTGGAATCTGGGACTATTGATGGGTTTCCAGTCACTGTTTATGACACACCAGGATTCTATGACCCAGACATGAGAGAAGAAGAAATTGAGCAGATGATAAATGAAAAGGTTCTCCAGGAATGTAAATCAGGTCTCTGTGCATTTCTGCTGGTCATCAAAGAGGAAGAGAGAAAAACTGTGGAGAAGATTGAAAAGCTCTTGGGAGAAAACTACTTGGAGAAAACCTGGATTCTCTTCACCAGAGGAGATGAGCTAGAAGATGAAAACATGACAATACTAGAATTCATCAATGATACTGAAGCACTGAAGACACTTGTTGAGAAATATGATCAGAGATACCATGTGTTCAACAACAAGGAGAGAGGATCAAGTGGCCAAGCTAAACTGCTGCTGGTAAAAATTCTCACGAGGTATTTCGGAGAGAATGGTGAGTATTCTTAAAAATCATTTATTCAAATCCTGTGAAGTTTTTTTTTTTTTTGGAAATTTCTGCTTAATATTGGTAAACTGCATTAAGTATAATTACATATATTATAAGACTGTGATAATTTAGAAAAAAGTAATAGATCTGGGGTCCTCAAATAGCGGACCGCACTCCGGTTCCGGACGTTGGGTTGGTTCCAACCGGACCACGAGACATAATGACAACGTATGTAATGTACCAAAATGTACCATTTTACTGTTTCCACAGTTTGAAGTGAGCATGCAGCAAATCAAAACATTGAAGCTGAACACACCACAAGTGCTATCTTTTGGCGCTGCATCCTCTGATATTTTAATCTAGAGCCAAACACTTTTCATTCAAGCCCTTTCCACTCGTGCACGCCTCTCCATCACTAAAGACATAAAGCTACAAGAGCTGCAGATGACAGTTATTTAACAACAGTAGCAAAAACACACTGTAAAAAAACGGCTACATTCAGTAACATAGTAATATACTGTTTTTTTTTCATTAAAACAGTAATATCCCATATAAAACAATTCATTCTGGGTAATATTTGTTGTTTTCGAGAAAGTAGCCTACAGCAGTATACTGTGAATTAACAGTATCAGAGTCGACTCTCAGAGACTGTCTGAAATCACACCTTGCACCCTCATTCACTAGTCCCTACATTAGTTCACTATATAGTCCACTAGACGGAGTGATTGAACTAGGGAGGCAACGATACCATTTTTTTTTTTCAGAACCGATTCAATCCGATACCAAAAATTCTGCGTATCGGCCAATTCCGATCCGATACCAGCGCAGTTTTTTTTTTTAATCAATGTAGAATTTCTATAGTTCTGTGGGTTGACCTGATCATCACTCTTGTGTGTGTTAATCACAATCTGCAAAATATAGATAACTTAATTTTAATGAAAAATAACAAATGAAAAAATATCTAATCATAATCTATGACAAAAAAATACTATTATAAACTAGGTTAGTGGATAATTCAGCAGCAAAAATTATTCTAGAAAAATCATGGGTGCACAATCATTTAATTTTATAAAAACATTAAACTAAACATTTAGTGAAACAACATTATTTAGTGGGGAACAAATACAAGTTAATAAGTGTAGGACTAAATCTGGTAAAATGTTACACATTGCTCTTTGTATTGTTGTAAAATACATTCATGAAAA